GAGGAATTTATGTGGCACAAGGCCGAGTTTAAAATGGGTTTCTCCGAGCCCGTAGGCTCGGCTAAAAAATATCCCCTTTGAACCCGCATAAGTGGGTTTGGGAACTGTCTACCTCCCCGGACGACATTTTGCCCTTTGGCAAAGCTTCGTCCGGATTCCTCTCTGACAAAGCAGAGAGTTCGACAGACGTCGAGACTGTATCTCGACGTAACTCGGTATTTAATATCCCACCCACGAGGAATATATGTAGCACAAGGCCGAGTTTAAAGTGGGTTTCTCCGAGCCCGGAGGCTCGGCCAAAAATATCCCCTTTGAACCCACCTAGACGGGTTCAGGGCCTGTCTACCTCCCCGAACGAAACCTTGCCCTTCGGCAAAGCTTCGTCCGGGTTCCTCTCTGGCAAAGCAAAGAGTTCGACAGACGTCAAGACTGTATCTCGACGTAACTCAACCGCAGGTATTCTCTCTGTCAGTATAAGTATACTTTGGATGAGTCCATCTTATGTAAAATGGGGAGAGCCCCAAAACAGTTAGCATAGAACTTACAGCTATATCTATCCAGGTCCACTGTAAATTAAGGAGGTATCAACGCCATTCTACTGCAGCGCTTAAATTCAAAATTTTAGGTACCACAGCGAAATGCTCTTTCAAACAATTACCGCGAAAGTACTTATAGAAATAGCACAGAAAGGCAACCTTACGTCGGTGGGAGAGTAACTGAAGCCGAGCCGCCAGATCAGTACCATTAATATTGCTGATTCATCTTTGGATCTTATCAAGTAGCTCAAGGCACCGGATCATATGTGAAAGCAATATTCTAAGCATGGACGAATGGTAGACTTATAGATATATAACATAGATTCTGGAGAGAAAACCTGCCTCGCCCGACATAGTGAACCGAATTTCTTGGGATTTCACCATGGCAATGGATTCAATATAGGCTTTACACTTCATCAGCAGAGAACGTGAGACTGATAAGGCGCAACGTGTCACTTTCCTGGTGGTTAGCATCAGCCATACTGATGGAAGGCAGCGAGGAAGTCTCTCAGATGATTAATGGAGCGAAGTGTAGTTTTTTTTGGGTTCGGGGGGCGTTAAAATTAACGACGGACGTGGCGTCATTTTGGACATCGGCTGCCATTTTAAATTTTTCCTATTGATAAGCGTTACTATCGAAGTAAGAGTAAATTGAATCATGGAGAATGTGCGAATTTTTATTTGTTCTGATCATTTCACCCCAGGCAAGGCGAAAAAGCTACTAACACACAGGGGTTTACGGAACGTGGAAGAATATAAGAAAAAACATTATTAAGGAGAGAGGCCAATAAAAGAACAGAAATTAAGAAGACAGGAGATAACGATTTAAAATTTTTAAAGATCTAACTCGACTGGAAAGAAAGAAGCCGAAAGAGTTCCACAGATAAGAAGTGCAAGAAAAGAAACTGTTAGCATAGAACTTGCGTTTACATCTAACCATTTCAACTATAAAATGATGAGACCTTGCCGCCAATCTAGTAATGCGCTTAAAAGAAGAATCAGAACAATTACATTAAAGAGTTTGTAGAAAAGGTACAGGGGGCTACATTACGGCGGTGGGAAGGTACCTGAAGCCGAGATGCCAGGTCAGGACTAATGACATCGCAGATTCTTGTCTTGATTAACTAAAAATACTTAGAAAATACTTGGACTTAGGAAACCGAGATGCCAGGTCAGGACTAATAACATTGCAGATTTTTGTCCTGATTAACTAAAAATATTTAGAAAATACTTGGACTTAGGAAAAAGTCAGACAAGTTCAAAAATCCTGAAACTTTCTACTTTTAGATTAAATATAGCACATATTATGTGGGAAATGTTCCAGAAAACCAAAAACGTCCGCATTTGAGCCAACTGTATTTCTTCCATTGTATGTGCTATGTCTTTTTCAGGACGTAGGCGATCATGGCTCTCCAGCCCACCTCTATCCCTTGCAGCTCTCAACAAGTTCCTTCCCTCTGCTTCCTCCCACAGACCACGTTTTGTCATCTCAAACTCGCCAGATACAACATGTGCTGACTTCCCTTGTCTCTCTTCCCCTCTAGTCGACCCGTGAATATCAGATTCTACAGGCCCTCCTTCATCATTATGTGTCCCAGAAACTGCAGCTGTCTCTTCCTGATGTTAATTATAAGCCTTCTCCTTGTTTGCATCCTCTCTAAGACCTCTATCGTTGCTCACACGCTCGATCAATGATATCCTTAGCATCCTTCTGTAGAACTATATCTCCGCTGCCTAGAGTTTCTTCTTCATCTTTGAGGAAATCGTCCAATATTTGCTGCCGTAAAGAAGGACAGATATCATGTAACAGCTCGGTATTCTTTTCTTCATTACCAAAGAAATACCCCTGTCTTGCAATACTCTGCCCAGCTTTTGGAATGCGTTCTTGGCCATTTCAGTAGGTCTGCAGAGCTCAGTGTCACACATACCGTCCTCTGTCAAGACGCTTCGCAGATATTTAAACTTCCACGTCTACTTGATTCTAGTTTTCCGACCTGCAAATCGCATTTCGGGCTTATCCTTGTACCCGACTTTAAAATTAAGTTTAAATAAAAATGCTATCAAATATCTATACTTTAATAAAGTTTTCACATAAATATGATAATGATGTTTTAAAAATGAATTGCGTTCCCCTGCTTCCACGAAACAGAATATTAAATTGTGATGTTCGCTCTGTATTGGCGTGACCAACACGAAATAAGCGTATGATTCATTTCCAAAATCGGTTTAATTGACATATGAAGAGTTCAAATGAACGAGCAGCAACGAAAGCCGTTCTAGCTATTTTATTTGAAATTACAAAATATTAACGCACACAAAACAATGGCAAGGAAGCATCGTCTTAGTGAGTATTTAAATGTTTAAAATCTCGATATGCGATATAAATCACCCGCCACTAAAATAATATTAAGAAAGGAAACAAACAAAAAGTATTTGTAATATATCGATGGAAAAAAAATTGACTAGAAAGAGACAGATAATTTTGAAACGAGTAAATGTCATAAACGAGAATTAACGAGATGTGAGACGAGAAATTAAAAGTTTGGGAAAGGTCAGAGATTGAAGGAATGGTGAAGGTGACTGAAAAGACGCTAAGAGACGGGAAGAATTATACGAGAAATTAGAGACAAGAAGAAAGGGGTAAAGAAAAAAAACAAAATGGTATAGATGAAGATTGAAGGGGGAGATTAAAAAGCAAGAAGACAGATAAAAAGAACAGGAGGTAAGGGCAAACAGAAAGAAAGAGGAATAAAAGAGAGATGAGGAAAAGCAACCAAAAAAAGTAGCACGAGAACAAAGAAAAAAGTGGGTTGAAAAATAGGAAAGAAAATAATGAAGGAGAAATAAAACAAATGAATGAAGTAGAAAAAGAAATAAAACGTTGGGAAAATAAGAAAGGCAACAAAGAAAAAGAAAAGGAAAGAGTGAATGAAGTTTGAAAAGATAAAAGAAAAGTAGAAAGCCTCACAGAAAAGAAAGGAAAGGAAACGCAAATAAAGAAATAAACAAAAATACAGAGTAAAAATATAACAAAGAAAAAGAGAATTTCTTTGTAATGCCATATAATTTCTTTTCTATGTTATCTGTGAATTTGGCATGACTTCTTGGGAAAGATAGTGGAGTGGTTTCCCGTTGCCTTCTCCACATATTCCTTTTCTTTATTATCTGTGAATGGTCATGACTTCTTGGGAAAGATAGTGGAGTAGTTTCCCGTTGCTTTCTCAACAGATTCCTTTTCTTTATTATCTGTGAATTGCCATGACTTCTTGAGAAAGATAGTGGAGTGATTTACTGTTGCCTTCGCTACAGATTCCTTTTCTTCATTATCTGAGAATTGTCCTGACTTATTGGGAAAGATAGTGGAGTGGTTTCCCGATGCCTTCTCCACAGATTCCTTTTCTTTATTATCTGTGAATTGCCATGACTTCTTGGGAAAGATAGTGGAGTGATTTACTGTTGCCTTCTCCACAGATTCCTTTTCTTCATTATCTGAGAATTGTCCTGACTTATTGGGAAAGATAGTGGAGTGGTTTCCCGATGCCTTCTCCACAGATTCCTTTTCTTTATTATCTGGGATTTGCCATGAATTCTTGGGATACATATGGAAGTGGCTTATTTTCGCCATGACTTATAATTCAGAGTTTTATTTTTTTAGACTTGTTGCACTCAAAGGTAGATAGCCTAGTCGTCATTGATATTTTATCCATAATTGTTAGAAGAATAAACCAACCGTTCCTAAGCAAAACATACGGAAAAATGAGAAAATGTAACTTAAAGGTAGAGAAATGAAAGAATGATCTAAATGACAACATGGTTCATGTAATTTAAGAAATATACAGCAGAAGGGAAAAAAGGCTCGAAATTTATATATATATATATATATATATATAGAGAGAGAGAGAGAGAGAGAGAGAGAGAGGGGGAGGGGTGCAGGCACAGTGGATTAATGGATAGTGGTCAGGATTGAAGAATCGGAGAACAGAGTTCGAATTCCAGTCGAATCCATTACATTCACTTACGTGCTAATACCCTTAGGAAAGGCATGTATCCTCTTCTTCTCCCCCACCCATGTATGGGCAAATAGCAGATAGATAGATAGATAGATAGATAGAAGAAAAGAAGGAAGAAAGGAAGGATTTAAAGAAGAGAAAATGAAGGAATATAAAAGATAGATAGATAGATAGATAGATAGATAGAAGGAAGCATCGGCATAAAAAGGAAGGAAAAAAATTGAGGTGAAGATAGATAGATAGATAGATAGATAGATAGATAGATAGATAGATAGATAGATAGATAGATAGAAGGATGGAAGGAAGGAAGGATCGGAAGTTGAGTAAATGATACAAATAGTTTTGCTGAAATAGTAAGCAGTTAAGCTAGATCTTTACTTGTTTACTCCTTCCGGCGATTTTTGGCGTCAGTATTCATTTATTTGGACGAGTCCGAGTGCTCATCCCGAAATGTATGTTCATCCCCACAACCCCTGTTCATATCTATCTATCTATCTATCTATCTAAGTCTAGTCATATCTATCTATCTATCTATCTATCTATCTATCTATCTATCTATCTATCTATCTATTCAAGTCTGTTCTTATATATCTATCTGTCTGTTTTATCTATCTATCTATCTATTCAAGTGTGTTTTTATCTATCTTTCTATTCAAGTCTGTTTTATCTATCTATTCAAGTCTGTTCTTATCTATCTATCTATCTATCTATCTATCTGTCTGTCTGTCTGTCTATCTATTTATCTATCTAATCAGATCTGTTCTTATCTATTTATCTATCTATGTGTCTATCTCATCAAATCTTTTCTTACCAATCTATCTATTCAGGTCTGTCCTTATCTATCTATCTATCTACCTCTCATTCCGTTAGGTCTTCATTGCATTATATGAAGATAACACAATCAAGAAGTAGTATGTCGCTTGCAGTCGACAGTCTTGCATAGGCAGTAAGCAGATATGCTAGATCTCTAACTCTCTACTTGTTTACCCCTTCCTCTGACGATTCGCGGCATCCATATTTATTTATTTGGACGAGTCCAAGTCCTCTTCTGGAGGGGTGTTTTCATCTACAGAACACCTTCATTTTAGATATACACTTTCTTTAGTCGATACTTTTTGAAACCCATTTTCAATCGGCTTACGTTTTCACTTAACCTGATGTTGTATTGTAATTTAGGTTTTTAGGAATAGGTACTTTAAAAGTCTCGTAAAGTATACCCATCGGTAAATTAAATTGTACTGGTTGCTTATTCTGTACATATCTAGACCTCAATTGATTAATATTTCTCTTAAAACGAAATTGTCTACTTTCGACAATGTACATCATATTAGCAAGGCGCTGAATAATTTTTCCTTCCTTCCAATTTTTTTTTCAGGTCTTAAAGCTTTTTAAAGATTAATTTATTGCTCATCTTAAATGATCTGGTAGGTTGAAACTGTCGAAATTTCTTCTTATTTCCTGGCAGTAATTTGTCAAAAATTGATCTAACTTTTCAAGCAAACATGAGCTCTGCAGATGACATTTTCCCTGTGAAGTTTGCATTTGACGTCATTCGATACAAGTTCAAAACTTTTTGTAATGCCTTTTCTTCGGTTCCCTAGACTTTAGCTTTCTTAATACCTTTTTCAAGGTGCCAACAAACCTTTCAGCTTGACCATACGACCTCGGATGATAAATCAACTTTGTCAAATGTTCAATCTCGTAGCTTCTGCAGAAGATTTTGAACTCCCTACAAGCAAATTGAGTTTCATTATAGGATAACACACTGGTACCTTACAAAATGATCGAACAAGAATTTAATTGGTATTGTGGTAGATGGTCGCTTACACATTAATATCTGGTGCCATTTTGTGAAAATGTCGATTAAAAATAAATGAACCGTTTAGTAGTCAAGAAATGTCCATATGTAAACTTATCTACAGTTTATCGGAGCTCGGCTATACCTGACAATTTATAGCCGATGATTTCGCTGCTGAATTACAACCATTACTTTTTCTAACTGTATATAAACTACATCCGAGTCCTGAGTAAGACGTAAAACTACATCCGGGTCCTGGGTAAGACGATGAATTACTTCCAACAGCAAGGCCTCTGACCAGGAGGCTTTGAGAAGCGTGGAACCACCTATCAATTGCTGGTATTCCCAGGTCTACACAGACCAGGCGTAGTAGCACCTGATAGGGTCCCAGCTATGGATAAATGGTGAACCCACAAACTTGAGTCAAAACACTATGAAAGTGTAAAAATAGGTTTTAATACCAACAATACGTTTTTGTAAAAAATATTACCAGCAATAACTTTTGAAGAAAAAATTATTACCAGCAATACATTTTTTGAAAGAATTTTACCAGCAATATATTTTTGGAAAAAATTTTACCAGCCACAAGCAATAAAAATCTTGTCGGCATTAAAATAACCCATTGAGGTGTTGATATGCCGTAAAACAAAATAAACTAAACAAATAAGGGTCGAATCAGTTTTTCTGATGTAAAGATGAAAATCCTTCAGAAAGGCGCCAGACTTGACTTAAAACCAAAAATAATATTATGTTAAATTATAAAAATATCAGCAATAAAACTCTTGTCGGCATTAAATAACCCATTGAGGTGTTGATATGCCGTAAAACAAAACAAACTAAACAACTAAAGGATGGAATCAGTTTTTCAGATGTAAAGATGAAAATCCTTCAGAAAGGCGCCAGACTTGACTTCAAACCAAAAATAATATTATATTAATTTATAAAAATCAGCAATAAAAATCTTGTCGACATTAAATAACCCATTGAGGTGTTGATATGCCGTAAAACAAAACAAACTCAAAGAACTAAACGATGGAATCAGTTTTTTGATGTAAAGATGAAAATCCTTCAGAAAGGCGTCAGACTTGACTTAAAACCAAAAATAATAATATATTAATTTATAAAAAATCAGCAATAAAAATCTTGTCGGCATTAAATAACCCATTGAGCTGTTGATATGCCGTACAACAAAACAAACTAAACAACTAAAGGATCGAATCAGTTTTTTGATGTAAAGATGAAAATCCTTCAGAAAGACGCCAAACTTGACTTAAAACCAAAAATAATATTATGTTAAATTATAAAAATATCAGCATTAAAAATCTTGTCGCCATTAAATAATCCATTGAGGTGTTGATATGCCGTAAAACAAAACAAGACCAAACTAAATGTATATCTTTGTACAACTTTAGCCAATGCACATAGCCTCTCATCAAGGTCTTCATCCACGCTATTCACGGATGTCCTACATGGAATTTTTTTAAAATCCTTTTTTCTCTTTTTGCAGTGAAAACGGAATTACGATTTTATCCGCAGACAAAAGTACCCCATCATAAATAGAAAATGTTCTATTACTGTTACCAGGTTTAATTTTAGTTTCACTCGATTTCGACTTAACGTCATTTATAGTTATTTTGAATAAACGTATCCTTTTTAGAATGAATTTTGGCATCTTCTATCGTGACCAGAAATTTTGTAATAGTATTACACACAAAGATTTTCATTTCGTTTTCGGATACCAGCGAAGCATTCACAGTATCTTCAATATCTTCTTTACATTTCGATATCAATCGTGTCCCAACTTTTTTGACGATATAAATTCCATCTTGAAATCATAGTTCAATAAAATCGTAGGCCAACGCTGTAGTCCGTTTGTAGTATGCGTGGTGATTCCTTTCTTAGAACAGAATAATAATAATAATTAATAATGGACGGTGATCTGTTTGCAGTAGGAATTTTCTACCGAATATCATCCTGTGAAATTTCTTTACGGCAAAAAATATAGCAAGCGCTGTATTTTCAATTTGACTCTAGCATTATTCCGTATTTGTTAAACTTCTTCACGCTTGAGCGACTTCTTTCACTGTAAAGCCTTCGTATTTATAGCCTATCACCTCCTCTATGCCGTATTCACTCGCGTCCGATGCTACTATTACCTATCAGTGCGGTTTGTAATGTGTCAGCGATATCTCTGAAGTTAGTAGTCTTTTTTTTTAATTCCCTCAGAAGCATTTGATTTTCCATCGACCAATTCCATTTCGTACCCTTCTTAAGTAAATTATTCAGAGCTATCCGCAATATTTACACGCCTGGCACATAAATATTATATTTGCTAATCCGAGAAATGATTCTAGGGTCACCAAATTTGTCTGGGGAGCCATGTCTTTAATGGTACTTGTTCTAGCGGGATCTGGTCGTCTTTCTATTTCTTCAATTATCTGACCTAAATATTTAATCTTTTCTCGGGGAAGGCATGTCTTTAATGGAACTTGCTCTAGTGGGATCTGGTCGTCTTTCTTTTTCGTCGATTAACTGACCTAAATATTTAATCTTTTCTCGGGGAAGGCATGTCTTTAATGGAACTTGCTCTAGTGGGATCTGGTCGTCTTTCTTTTTCGTCGATTAACTGACCTAAATATTTAATCTTTTTCTCGGGAAGGCATGTCTTTAATGGAACTTGCTCTAGTGGGATCAGGTCGTCTTTCTTTTTCGTCGATTATCTGACCTAAATTTAATCTTTTCTCGGGGAAGGCATGTCTTTAATGGAACTTGCTCTAGTGGGATCTGGTCGTCTTTCTTTTTCGTCGATTATCTGACCTAAATTTAATCTTTTCTCGGGGAAGGCATGTCTTTTATGGAACTTGCTCTAGTGGGATCTGGTCGTCTTTCTTTTTCGTCGATTAACTGACCTAAATATTTAATCTTGTCTCGAAAGAACTGAAATGTCTGTTCACTGATCTTGAAACCGTAAGCATGTAGCCTCTGAAATACTTCCTGAATCAGTTTTACGTGCTGTATTTTAGTAAGCAAATCTCCTATGCAAAAACCTCGTTTCGTCCGGCCAATAACATCTCCGTTATTTCCTAGAAAATACAGTGGTCTACTTCTACATCAAAGGATAATATTTATGCATATTAATAGTCAAAAAAATTCCTCATGCCCTTCGATTTGAAGATATGCCTCAGGCAGGTCAATTTTTGAAAGAAATTTACCACCATTTAATTTGGCTAAGTTGCTAGGAGATGTGTATATGGTAGGAGGCTGCGATTCAATCCATTTGCACATGAACAAATCTTATTATCTTTCTTTCTCATAAACCGGTGAATGAATTAATCGGCCAATTTCACAGTTCAAATAATTCTAGCCAATCGACGCCTAGTAAATTCGCGTAGGAATTTTTTTTTTAATACGTAAACATTTACCCGCAAGGGCGATGTTACACGTGATTTTAGCAAGAAGAATTAATTTCTTGCCCGACATTTACAACTTTATCAGTTTTTTTATCAAGTTTGGCTTGTCAATTCTGTTCCAAGTTTCTTCATCAATAATTGTAATATCACTACCATTGTCCAATTGAAATCTCACCGTAGCGTTAGTCATTTGTACTGTCAAGAATTTTCCAGATTTTTAAATGGTATTACTAATTCAGCAAGTTAATTTATGTTTTGCCTTTGTTTCTTGACTTGCAGTAGCTTCGTTTGTGACCTGTTTTTTTCAAACTTAAAACATTTTGTTTAATTTTGAATGAACAGTCCTTTCTGAGATTAAGCATATCCCAAACATACCATGGATTAAGTTTGGCAATATTTTTATTCTTGATGTTTTTTTTTTTGGGGGGGTACTACTGTCTTTTTTGTACCATTTTTACTTCTCTCGTGCACTTTTGCTCAATTTTCACTCTATCGTGCCTTAAATTGACAATTTTTGTCACTCTACCGTAGCACTCTGTATTGTTAACTTTGAATTCTGTTCAAATTTTCTGAGAATTCGAGAGCATATTTCAGACATCAGACCTTCAACAAAAATTATACATTTAAATCTGTCTGGGCATAATTCATACAGTTTAAATTTCTCACTCTCAGTTGACTTTACATGACTTTAGATGCTACAAAATCATCATTTTCGTCCTTAGTAAGGTCCATGTACTGCTAGCGTGTATAAAACAGTGAATTCTTTTCTCCAAAGATTTCGATAATATAGACAGAGTTTCGGTAAATGACACTTTTTCTGCAGTATTTGGCAAAATGAAAATCAGATATTTTTTCATTTTCAGCGGAGCACGATTTTCGTAATAGATATGCATTCTTTTCCTCCAACGATCCTTGGTATTATTTCTGAAAATGGCCTCGTAACTTCTGAAGTACGATAGGAAAGTAATGTTTTCTTCTGTGACGTAATTAAATTCACTAATTGATTTAATGACTTAGATCATCGAAAATGAAATTGTATGTTCCTTGCTTTTTCAGGATTGCTTTTATCTGTTCTTGATATTCAATCCGTTCCCTTTGCATTTGTTGTGATAGTTTCTGAATAAATACCTTCAATTCGTCCATAGTACATGTTCATACAAGTAGTCCGTAACTAGGAATCTTTTTTTTTTCTCTAATAGTCGTATGTCATAGGGCCTTCAAGTTTATCGACTTCCGCGTCGCGTAATGGATATAACACGAACTCCACCAAATTTGTTTTCCGTAAAGTCTGAATTTCGACATCTATTTCCGTTTAGAGAGAACAAACAATTTATTTAAGCGTGAATTTGAATTATCGTCGCCACTGATATACTCTCATTGGATTGAATGAAAACAAAACAATCAAGAAGTAGTATGTCACTTGCAGTTGACATAGTCTTGCTGAAGTAGGTAGTAAGTATGTAAGCTAGATTTCTATCTCTCTACTTGTTTAGTGCTGATATTTATTATACAAAAGTACAAATAAGCCCCATGGGCAAAATTGCGATGGCGGGAGGTTGGTCAACACTTGTCCTATCGATAACTTATCGTGCCAGGAATTACTGATCCATTTCTTCGGACATTGTTCTTTCCACCAAAATATCCCAACTACACAATATTGCCATACACGGACAACATAATGCCAACTTTACTCTATCAATTCCTACCAAATCCCATATATACAAAGGGATGTAAATACAGTGTAACCCGGATATAAGAGACCCGGCTGTAAGAGAAACTCGGATATAAGAGAGATTTTCTCTGGTCCCAAATTAGAGCCTTACTTACCTAAACAAAATAGACCAAACCCGGATATAAGAGAAACCCGGATATAAGAGACTTCTCCTCCGGTCCCGACAACTCTCTTATATCCGGGTTACACTGTATAAGAGAAACCCGGATATAAGAGAGATTTTCTCTGGTCCTAAATTAGAGCATTACTTACCTAAACAAAATAGACCAAACTCGGATATAAGAGAAACCCGGATATGAGAGACTTCTCCTCCGGTTCCGACAACTCTCTTATATCCGGGTTACACTGTATAAGAGAAACCCGGATATAAGAGAGATTTTCTCTGGTCCCAAATTAGAGCCTTACTTACCTAAACAAAATAGACCAAACCCGGATATAAGAGAAACCCGGATATAAGAGACTTCTTCTCCGGTCCAGACAACTCTCTTATATCTGGGTTACACTGTATAAGAGAAACCCGGATATAAGAGAGATTTTCTCTGGTCCCAAATTAGAGCCTTACTTACCTAAACAAAATAGACCAAACCCGGATATAAGAAAAACCCGGATATGAGAGACTTCTCCTCCGGTCCCGACAACTCTCTTATATCCGGGTTACACTGTATACAAATTCGAATAGACAGGCGTTCGTATGAATTTCATAAACAAAACCAATACATCAATCAAGCTATAAACATAAATGTCTATCTATCTATCTATGTCCGTTCATATCTCTCTGCCTATCTATCTAAGTATATTCTTATCTATCTTCCATCTATGTATTTAACTATGTTCTTATCTATCTATCTATCTATCTATCTATCCATCTATGTCCGTTCATATCTATCTATTTATTTAAGTATGTTCTTATCTGTCTATCTTTCATCTATCCATCTATCTATTTATGTTATCTATCTATCTATCTATCTATCTATCTATCTATCTATCTATGTCCGTTCATTATCTACCTATCTA